CGGTGCGGTTCTGGAGCCAAGTGTGGGGCGCGCGCGCCGTGCCGACCCCGGGCCCGGTGTCCGGGGTGACGGAGGTCAACGAGGCAATGCCCCTGCCCTTGAGCTGCTCAGGGGCAGGGGTGTGGGGGCGCAGGCACCCCCAACGACGAGCGTGGCCGTGTTCTCTCGGGTTGGGCCGTGTTCGTTTCGCATTTCACAGGGACGTTTCCATGTATGGACACACACATACTTCTCATTTCTTATTAATTTTAGAAACTGTTGTGAATGACTAGCAGAAATACCCCGGGCCGACAGGGTTCTCGGCGTGCCTTCGGCACTACCCGTGTGGCCCGGCCTCAGTTTTCTGGTCTGTCAAATGGCCTATATTTGTATCCTATTGTGGCGCCGCTGGGGGTAGGACAGCGCAGGGAAGGGAGGCCGAGCAGTTCAAGGCCAAGGAAATGGGTGGGGCCGACAGAGGCCGCAGATGGGTTTGCTTCAAAGCCCCGCCTCAGTCTTGTGCTAGGCCACCCTGCGCCGGGCAGCTGCGCGCCTGCCGGGCCGGTCGGACAGGTGCCAGGCCTCCGTGCCTGCTGGTGTTCCCTGCTGTCCGTGGGGACGAGGAAGTTAACCTATTAGGTTTCCCACAGCAGTTGGTGCTGAGGAAATTGCATCAGTCTGCACACGGCAAACCCCCTCCAGACCTTCGGGCTGAGGATAAGTGTCTGCCTCCAGGGCGGTGACTTCCTTCTCCCTTTCTCGCTCTCTCTCTCTGCTGGGGCCACCACTTGCTGACAGCCTTATCCAGATGGCCCCCATCCATACGGAGCGCTCCCTGGGCACTGGCAGTGAGGCCCTTGGTCTGACCGAGTCTCGGGGTGCATCTCCTGGAAGCAGCAGCTCTGGGCAGCAAATGTCACATGTCTGCGAACACAGTGCCCAGGAGACCCTGCATTTCTACAGTGGCATCATGCGCAGTTCAACAAATATTTATTGAGTACATATTCTGTGCTTGACACCGTTCCAACGGTTGGGGATATAGCCATGGACAAGCCAGGAAAGGCTGGGGAAGCGAGTGTTGAGACAGACATCAATAAAGAAAAATGGGGTGATATGAGGGAAGGGGACTGGTGGTCAGGGGAAGCTTCTTGGAGGAGGTGACTTGTGCAGGAGGTGGCCACAGGAAGAGGTGGGGACAGAGCCTTCCACGTAGGTGAACGGGGAGCAGTGGGAGCAGAGGGGTGCGGTGGCGGGGCGCAGGGGTATTTGGGAGGGAGAGCAGTGCAGCTTACTGAAGGTCTGCATGTCCTAGAGAGGGTCTGAGGATGACTCTGAGATTTCGGCCTCAGCCCCTGGCAGGATGGTGATGGCATTTACTGAGCACACACTGAATTATGTATTGCCGTGTATTATTGAGCACAGTGCTAAGCCCTGCAGAGTTTTGAATAATTGGTTCCAGTTATTCTTCCCATCCCCCTGCAGGTTAAAATCCCAGTGGCCTCTGGCTCAGTCTTCTCCACTCCCCGCTCCCACCGTCCCCTTCCACACTGGCCCCAGGGCTGGGCTAACATCTGTTTCCTCCCTGCAGTTCCCCACCCCGGGCCCTGGCAGAGCCTCCCCCAGGAGCTTCCCTGCCCCAGCCCTTGGATGCTCCTTAACGTCCTGCCTCCTTGCCCTGGCTCACGCAGTATGCGCTGACCAGGAGGCCTTCCTCTCTGACTCGACTGTTGAAGCCATACCTGACTTGATGGCCTTCCATCAATGCCGCCTCTTCCTTTTCCAAAACCTCCCTCCAAGCACCCGTAATCTCTCCATCCACCTAGCCCCCTGGGATCACACTTCTGCCACGAGAGTTACTTTCCTGTGGTCAGAACTCACCTTCCCCGGCCACAGCTCCCCGTGGCATTGTCTGGCCCAGCACAGGGCCTTGTGCTAGCGGGCCCTCAGTTAGGTTTGAATCAGTTGGATTAGTTGAAGCTTCCTTCCCACCAGGCCTTTTACAAAAGCCTGAAAACCAGAAAAAGCAAGGCAGGTTATGGAGTCAGGAAAGAGTTGGGATCTCTCAGTCTCATCCTCTCTCTCTCTCTCACACACACACACACACTTTCTCTACTCATGCTCACCCATACACATCCCCTTTGAGTAGGTGTCCCCTTCATGGAAGGGCATCAGTAACCCCCCCCATTCCAAGACTAGCAACGTTTTCACCCTTGGGTGTGTCTCAGGCCTTACCCCCTCCCCCCCGCCCCCCAAGTCCCTGCTGGATCCTTCTCTCCCTGTTCTGAGCAGGTTCTGCCCTTGGTGGTCACTGGGATACACACAGGATCTGCTGCCCCAGTTTCTCTCCGTTCTTTGCTCCTCCCCCAGGTGGCGAGTGTGAGAGCACACAGGTGAACCAATTTACGCTGCTCTCATACTCCAGAAGAGCACCAGCTGTGTGATGTGCCAGCTGTAAGCATAGGCCCTTGTAGGAGCAGGGATGGGGGGTACTTCCTGGCTACCACCTGCCTCAGAATGTGATTAAAATGCTTGTCAGCTTACCTAGCACACCTAACCTCTTCCCTTTTCATGGATGCTTCAGTCCAGTATCATGTTCCTGACCCACATCAGCTTCCTCTTCCATCCTCTGCTCCTTTAGCTTATCCCTACAGGAGGAGCCACTGATGTGCAACACTAGAAATTTCCTATTTCAGCATCTTAACTGGACGTTGACACAGTCATCCTCATTCTTATCATAGAAGTGTGTAATCCATCCATCCATCCACCATCCGTCATCCATCCATCATTCACCATCCATCATCCATTCATTCATCCATTCATTTACCATCCATCATCCATCCATCCATCTACCATATATCCATCCATCATCCACCATCCATCATCCTTCCATCCACCATCCATCCATTCATTCACTATCCACCATTCATCATCTATCCATTCATCTATCCATCCATCCATCTATTCATTTGCCATCCACCATCCATCATCTATCCATTCATCCACCATCCATCCATCCGTCCATCTACCACCAATCATCCATCTATACACCATCCATCTGTCCATCCATCCACCCATCCATTCAATCACCATCCACCATCCATGATCCATCATCTGTCCATTCATTCATTATCCACCATCCATCCATCCATCCATCCATCCATTTCTCCTTCCTGGCTTCTTTTCCCCTCTTTCCCTCCTTCATCCATTCAATTCTTATTATCCTAACAGAAGTCCCCAGGCAGACTTTCTTTGTCATACTCATCCAGGTATCTTGAAAAGATAGCTGTAGGTCGAGGGTGGCATTTGGAAATCTGGGTGCTCCTGATGCCCAGAGCCCATTCCCTGACTCTTTGTGGGGCCGGGGTCAGGTGCTGGAGATACAGCTCTCCTGCACCTGTGACCAGTCTCCTGTGGGCCCATCTACCTGCAGGTTGGATGGATCTCTTCCCACTTCCTCACTGACCCGTCTTACATTGGGGGCAGATTTCTAACAACCATTCCAGCTGCAGGTGAGTGGAGTGAACTTCAGCATGAGTTTGTCCCTCAGCTGTCAGTAGGTATTGTTAGGTTGTGGAATCTGTGACTGAGAAAGGTACTTTCCAGAAGTCCCAGGGCATATGGTAGAGGTGATCCAAAAGTCCCCTTGTCGGTCTGCTGTGGTGTGGAGGGGTTTCGGCCGAGGAGTGCTGTTTGTGGCAGCTCTGAAGGGCTGTTGAGGAGGCTGTGGTGTAGGAGGCTGCTGGAGAGGGCCATGGCCCTCTGTCTAGGACTGCAAGCTCTGCTTGGTGCTGGAGGTGTGAGAGAGAAGCTCTGTAGGTCTAGAGGTGACCTCTGGGAGAGAGAGCGCGGAGTCCATTGAGATAGGACCCTCCGTGGAGACAGGGACGTCCTCCATTCATCCACAGTGCCTGGCACATAGTGGTGCATAAAACATTTTATCCTTAATATGTTTTAAAATTAATAAACAGATGATGAAATGACAGGACTTTGCTCAGGTCGCCCAGTTAGGCAGTAGCAGAGTAGGTCCTAGACTCTAGGTGTCTTGACTGCTAACTCAACCGAGCCTCACGCCCTAATGCTGTCCCACTGGGAAGGGGCCTTGGCCCCTGGTCTCCTTGGTATCTGGTCCTTTTCCTGTGCCCACCCTAGCCTCACCTTACCTTCCAGGTGCGGGGTTGGACTCTGGCTTGCTGCCCCGGGTGTGTGGAGCTGGCTTCCTTCTGGCCGCAGCTCTGGCCCAACTCTTCCTTCCTTGGATTGGCCTCATCCTCTGGCCCCTTTGATTATACACATCCTGGGGCCCTTCCTCCTGGTCCTCCTGGAAGGTGTGTGTAGCTGTGACTCTTCTGTGCTCCCTGGAGCTCAGTCTGAAGGTTTCTGGCTGGCTCTGAGGGAGGTGGCAGATTTGGTGGTTAGGCCTGTCAGTCACTGGGGAACGGGACTGGGAGGAGCGGGGGTGGGGGGTGGACGCAGAGGCAGTGAGGCAGGGGCCATCTTCAGGGTGGGCTGGGATGGGGTGGAGGGTGCAGGTGGGCAGGCTGGGAAGAGCGAGGAGCTGGTGGTTCCAGTCCCTGAAAGTCACACGGGTGGCCCGCAGGGGCCAAAGCACTGCAGAGAAACCTGGCTAAGCCCACAGCACTGGAACTGGATGCAGAGGCAGAGGTGGGGGCGAATGCATTCAATAGCCAGGAAATTCCATGCATCAACATGTTTATTTCGATAAGTGACCGCCTCCCTGTTCTGGTCGTTGCAGTTCCTGGACAATTGTAGGGGTTGCTGGCCTCATCTTGCTCCTGGTAGCCCTGCTGGCTCGTGTCCTGGTCAAAAGAAAACCACCCCGGGACCCACTGTTCTATGGTACGTCTCCATGCGAGGGAAACGGTTGGTGTCCACCTCGCAGCACAGCTCTTGGGCCTTCGCCTTCATCACGCTTCCCCCACAAAGAAGGAGTCTGTCTCCCATACCCTGAGCCCCACTGGGGAAGTGGCAGGAAACGGAGGAGTGTTTCAGGGCAATGCAGTCCTCCCCTCCAGATGAACACCTCCTCTGAGCCATGGACCCCACCCTTTCCCAGCAGGGATCATGGCGGAAAGTCACTGCCAGGGCCAAGCAGGAGGCCCCTCTGTTCCTCACCCCCACCCCCAGCCGTGCTCTGACCTCTGCCCTCGACTCTTGCAGCGGCTCCTTCCCGTGCTTCTTGCCTTTGCCTTGCTTCTTGCCGCCCCCTCCACCCGGCATGGAACTGAGCTGTAGTGTCTTGGTCCACTGAGGAAAACAGTGCTCCCCGTGGAGGGTTGCTACAAACATTCAATGATATTAGTCAAATATTTAAACAGTGCCTGAAAAGTACACACGTGCATTACGTAAGTGAAAACACCCCTGATCCAGCACTTACGGCGTGCCTGGTGTGGCCCCGAGCACTTCAAAGTATTAGCTTATTTAATCCTCGCAACAGATGCCCTCCCCTTACAGATGAAGAAGCGGGCTCGGAGCCGCTAAGACACGTGGTCAAGGTCATATAGTGAGAACGGCATTGACCCCCGAAGCCACACTCTTCTTTGCACCAGGCTGCCTCCAGCCAAGCCGTCCCCGCCTTCAAGCGCGTCCCCTGCGGGAGCTGGGCTGCGCCTTTACTTGTTCAGTTTCTGCTTTAGCGAGGCTGCGTATCAGACGCCCCCAGACCTCGGTGTCCTGCCGCAGCAACAGACATTTCCCATGTTTCTGCAGCTTTACGGAGATGTAATTGACGTCTGACACCGGGCAGGCGTAAGGTCTACCCCGTGACGATGTGATACACGGCTGCACCATGAGATGGTGGCCACAACGAGGTTGTTCGCCGTAGGGTCCCTCACCTCACAGAATTACCTTTTTCTGGCGTGTGGTGAGAACATTTAGGGTACAGTGCAGTCTTGTTCACCGCAGTCACCACGCTGTCAACTTACTCATCTTACAACTGGAAGTTTGTACCCTTTGCCCGGCATCTCCCCATGTCCCCCACTCACCGGCCCTGCAACCACCGTTCCAGCCTCTGTTTCTATGAGTTCAGCTTGTTTGGCTTCCACGTCCCTGAGTGAGATCACACAGTCTCGGTCTTTCTCTGCTGACTCATCTCGCTTAGCACAGTGCCCTCAGAGTCCACCCAGGTTGTTGGAAATGGCAGGATTTCCTTCTTTGTTTATGGCTGAGTCATACTCCATTTTGTTTATGCCTGTCTTCTGTACCCACACTTCGGGTACTTCCAATCTTGGGTACAAACATTTAGTGCCCACGCTCACGGGTCTGCAGGTTAGCTAGGACTGTTGTGCATCGGACTGCGGGTCATATTCAGAGCTGTCCCATGTGTCTCCTTGTTCTTGGACCAGCAGCTCCCCATGGTGGGCCCTTCTCATGGCAGAGGAGACTTGGGAGTTGGCCACTGTCACTTCCATGCACACTCCAGTGGCCAAAGGAAGTCGTGTGGCTGAGTCCATCATCAATAGCATGGGGAATATTCTCTGCCCACCGTGGATCTTGGCAAAGGTGGGGAGGGAAAGAAGAATTGTAACTAATTTCTCCCAACTTGCATATAAAAGACCCTGAAGCTTAGGTAAATCATGTGACTTGCCTAAGGTTGGACAGCCAGTGGGGAGATGAGTTGGACCTGTCTGAGTTCAAGGCCCACATCATTTCTCTGGCCCCACACCACCTGTCTTTGCTCTGACCCCAGCCTAGGTTTTGAGAGTGGTCTCCTGCTGCTGTCTTTCCACCCCACTCCGTGGAGCCCATGCTTAGGGTAGATGAGTTGGACCTGTCTGAGTTCAAGGCCCACATCATTTCTCTGGCCCCACACCACCTGTCTTTGCTCTGACCCCAGCCTAGGTTTCGAGAGTTGTCTCCTGCTGCTGTCTTTCCACCCCACTCCATGGAGCCCATGCTTAGCTGACTTGGGTCTCTCCCAATTCCCCAGGATTGAGCACCCTTGTTCCTACACCCTCAGCCCTCTGTTCTCATCTATGTCCTAGCTTGAGCACACTGCAGCCCTGGGGCCGGGGCTTGTCACCTTGGACCCAGCATCCGACACTCCCGTCAGCCTCAGTGATCAGATGCTGAGCGCTTTCTTTCCTGGGGGACCTTCGGGGGCTGATCCTGACAGCAAGGTCTGGAGCACAGACCTGGAAGGCATGGGAAGGCAGGGTCTGTAGGGCAGGGCACTCGCGGGCCTTGCATCCTGGGGAAGATGTGAACACCGGGGGCTTGGCTGCAGACTTGGCAAGGCTGGCTTCCCTTCTCTGGGAAGTAACCTCCCCACTTTATCATGGCTGTTCTTCTGTCCACCTTCGAATTCTTGTCCTACCCGTGCCCGCCACATGGCTTCTGATGGGGTACAGCTTGAAAATGCATCCTTATTGATAAACTAACATGCACTAAGTTGATCTTTTGCCATGTAAAACGTATCATTCTACAGCTGTGTGTTGCTGGTAGCTTTAAGCCTGTTTAGGAGATTCTCACAACCTGAGTGAGATTCTCTAAGACGCTGTGGCTTGGCTTTTTTCGTATTCAATTGTGCCGTCTTGTACCCATTTTAAAAATCACTGGCCTTTCTTCTTACAACTTGCCCATCAGTCATCATCCGTCTTTAGGCTCTTCAGTGTGGACTAGGGCAAACATCAGACGAGCTGGCTGCAGGTGGGATGCTGGTATGGCCCCGGGCAGCCACTGGTAGGTTGTGGAGGATGGATGGGGTGACCTGGTAGGATCCCGTGGCACAGTTAGTGGGTGAGCATGTCATTCTGTCCCCCTGGTGGGTGTCCCCTTGGAGAGAGCACTCGGGCAATGACACGGAGATCCATAACAAAGGCGAGGGTCCTTCTGTACAGGAGGGACCTTCTGTTCGTCCATCTTGACAGTGCCCACTGTCTTCTGGAAAAGATGAAGACGAAGTCACCATTTTTGGTGAATGCCAAGCTCTTAGTCATTGCCTCCTGAGCTACTGCTTTTTAAACTATTGCTTTCTTGGGGCGCCTGGCTGGCTCAGTCAGTGGGGCGTGTGACTCTTGATCTTGGAGGTTGTGGGTTCAAGCCCCACATTGAGCGTAGAGATTAATTTACAGAAATATAAATAAATAAATAACTACTTCTTCCTTTGCTCTAGTGTATGCAGTTTTCGGATTTACCAGCGTGGTGAACCTCATCATAGGCTTGGAACAGGATGGAATCATTGACGGGTTCATGACGTACTACTTGAGAGAGGTATGGGATCGCTTAGTGACTGTAAGCCTTATGCCGAAGGGTCAGCACCCCAAGTCCCATTGCTCAGAAAGATGAAATCCCTACATTTAGTGTAAGGTGGTAAGATCCGTGGTATTTCTTTTACTGCCACAGATGTAGGTGGTTTATTCATGTGGAAAGTGAAGCAGAAAGTTAGGATTTGATCATGGGAGACACTTCTTTTCAGCATCTTCGTCTGATACCTTCTCCCTCACACCTGGTCCACTACCTTTTTCCTTTGCTTGTATTTAATATAAATGAGATACTCTAAAGGAATTTAGTATTTGGTGTCTTATTATTAAAACATTACCATATCCGAAAGCCCAGGTCGGTCTTACGTGTGTTAGAGAACACAGACACTTAATGAAGCCATTTGATGGCGATGATCCTTCCCTCGCTGTCATATTATAGTGCTACCTGCCCTTGAGAGAGCTAGTCCTCTTCCCCTGTTTTAGTGGTGTGATGAATCCAGCTCCAGAGGTTAAGTAACTTACTCAAGGTCACACAGGAAAGTACAGTTTTCATCTGTGTTTCAAGTAACGGCGAGCTTCATATGTTAAGCAAAGGGAGTTTGGATTTTATCTCACATTCGAAGGAAGAATTTGAGTCAGGGAACATGCAGTCAGCTCTGGGAACGATGGGCTTGAAGGGGAGTGTCTGGGCTGAGAGCTGGGACTCAAGTCAGGAGGCTTTTGCAGGGCCAGCAAGGGCTTGAGGATGGCCTAGGCAGAGCCAAGCACAGGAGGTAGGGAGGAGGGACGAATTTCAGAGGCTTTGAGTGCTTGGAGTGGGTAGGACTCAGGGATTAGCTGGGGGTGATGGGGAGAGTAAGGTCCAAGAAGACCTCTTGCTTCCTGCTTTTGGGAGAATGGTGGTGTTATTAAACTAGAGGGATGACGGGGAATTCAGCCCCGCAGACAGGAGTTGGGCACAGGGCATGGGCACACTGTGGAGATAGTGTGGGTTCGGTCCCGGACCGTTGCAATAAAGCAAATATCACAATAAAGCAAGCCACATGAAGGTTTTGGCTTCCCGATGCACCTAAAAGTTGTATTTACACTATACGGTAGTCTATGAAGTGTACAATAGCATTGCGTCTAAAAACCCTATATACCTTAATATTAAAATACTTTTTTGCTAAAAACTTGATTATTATCTGAGCTTTCAACGAGTCCTCATCTTTTTGCTGGTGGAGGGTCTTTACCGTGATGTCGCGGGCTGCTGACTGATCAGGAGGGTGGCTGCTGAAGGTTTGGGGTGGCCGTGGCAGTTTCTTAAAATAAGACAACAGTGAAGTTTGCCGAGGACAGGGAGAGGGAGGGAGGGAGGGATGCAGGTAGGCGAAGCAGTCAGACCACACCCAACAGTCGCCATCGTATATGGGTGCAGTTCGTGGGGCCCCCCAAACAGTCACAGTAGTGACATCAGAGATCACCGGTCCCAGATCACCATCACAAATAGAATAATAATGGAAAAGCTTGAAATATCGCCAGGATTACCCAAATGTGACTCAGAGACACACAGCGAGTAAATGCTGTTGGAGAAACGGCCCCGAGAGACTTGCTTGACGCAGGGTTGCCACAAACCTTCAGTTTGTAAAAAACACAATGTCTGCAATGCACAGTAAAGTGAAGGGCGATAAAACAAGGTCAGCCTGTACGCAGGGAAGAACTGGGCCTGGAAGCAGTCAGGGGAGTCCTCACTGAATTAGTGACACTGCTCTAGCATTTTTTCAAATGGCAATGACATTGGAAGGTAAACATTTTCCAGATAGACGAGGAGGGTGGAGGGCATTCCAAGGAGAAGGGTCGGCTTGATCAAGAGCTTGGAGGTGAGAAAAGGCAGGTGTCTCCCCATGGTCAGCCCAGGGTGCAGGTGTGCAGGGATGATGTTGAGTTCATTTGGGGACATGTGGAGTTTCAGGTGGTGGAGGGACATCCTGGCAGATGTCCCAGTTGGCAGGGCTTTGCAGGTCTTGAGCTCTGAGGACCATTCCTGACGGAGAAATTTGGGGGCCATCTGAGTATAGATGGTACCTGAAGTCTTGCTCGGGAGAAGGGGGAGAGAGAAGATGGCCGAGGGTGGAGTGAGTGGACCTCTGGAGGCCGTGGCCAGAAGAGTCCCTGAAGTGGATTGTGAGGCCAAGAGGCAGACGGAACAGCTGGAGAGCCTGGGACCTCTGAGTCCAAAGAGTGGGGAGCTCTCGGGGAGGAGGTGGCTGCTGAAAGGGGGCAGAGGTTGAGGTGTTGAGGGTGTCAAGCGGTGAGGCATGAGAAGCTGGGATGGGGTGTCGCTCTGGGAAGGTTTGCAGGGCCAGGTTCTGGGCGCCTGGCTGCCAGGTAGGGGAGGTGGGGCCGGGCCTGTGGGCGGCCACCAGCTTTGGGAGGCTTTTGAGTGGAAGAGATGCGTTAGGAGCCAGGCCTCATGAGTCTTCATCTGGCAGGTGGATTGGAAAGAGAGGGAGACAGAGAGACTGTGTGGGACTGGCTCCGTGAGGGGCACTGAGGGCTTGAACAGGGCCATGTACGGACAGGGAGGGTGGCCCGCAGTGACCTCAGAGAGAGAGAATTGACCAGACTTGCCCGCAGACTGCAGAGGAGAGAGGAGTGACAAAAATGGCCCTGTGGCTTTGAGCCAGGTGGGCTGGGTGCTGTCATGGTTCATTGGGAGGCTGGGCGGGGCTCGGCGGAGGGCAGAAGCTGAGGAGTGGAAGGAGTTCAGGGGTGTTTGGAGGGCCCTCAAAGGGCCGTCCAGTTAAAGACACCCATCAAGCCACCAGGCGAGGCCGGCTCCGAGGGCCAGGTGCATAGGCATGACCATGATGTCGTGACATGGCATTGCTTTGTCCAGTCATAGCATGTTGGAGAGAAGGGACGCGGGCACGCAAGTCCAGCTGCCGAGGCACTCCCACCTGCTCCACGGTCCTCATGCCATCAGATGCGTAGGGAGTGGAGACAGAGCAGTCCCTGCCCCGGGAGCGTGGGGCTCCAGCGGGGCCCCTTCTTGGCCGCTGCCGACAGGACTGAGGGCGTCTCAGGGGGACACAAGGCAGGAGAGCATGAACGTGGGAGCGAGGAGAAAGAACGAGGGGGCGTCAGAATGACATTAACCCCCCTGCGAATTAGACCGTGACTTTCTGGGAGCCGTCTGGAAGAGGGAAATGTAGTGCGTCATAAAATCTCATGTTCATAAAATTAATTTCTCAGGAGAAGTGTGGCTTTTCTTGATGGTATGCTCCGTGCTAGGCGTTCGCTATGTGACCTTAGGCTGGTCCTGTGACCCCTTGGAGCCGTTTCCTCATCTGTAGAGTGGAGTGAGTTGTGGGTCCCGTAGGGTGGCTGGGAAGGTCGAGGGGGTGGGGTGCCTGTCCGTCTGTCTGTCTGTGTGTCTGGGTGTGGGCAAGATGTGCCTTCCTCAGCCTCAGCCCAACAAGCCTGGGGATCAGCACGCAGGCGAATGACGCAGGGCAGCTGGTGGTTGTGGCGGGCGGAGTCTTCTCTGGCCACCCCCTCCGGCCAGAGCTGACGCACCTTTGGTCCCAGATTTGACTCGGCCTCGGTGCAATAGCCGTGCAACCACGGTTGCCCACGATTCCACCTGCCTGGTGTCACTGTCCACGTGCGTCACCCAGAGGATGGCCAGGCAGGCTCGGGGCCATCCCATGGCAGACTCTGGCGACGGCGGCTCCAGGGCAAAGTTTGTACGGGAAGAGTCCCGTATGGGACTGAGCCTAGGTTTATCTTAGCAGACAAACACAAGCCAGCTCTGCTGTTCCATTTTACTTGAAATACAGGTCTGGTGTCCTGGGTGGAGATGTTTGAGTCCTATTTAAAGTAGACTCCTCTTTTACTCTTTCCTTAGGGTGAACCGTATCTGAACACTGCGTATGGGCACATGATCTGCTACTGGGACGGCTCTGCTCATTATCTGATGTATCTGGTGATGGTGGCTGCCATAGCATGGGAGTAAGTCAGTCCGTCCGCCGGGTGTGTCCCTTTGCCAGCCTAGCAGCCGATACACACGTATGTAAGGAAACCAGACAGAGGGGCAGGGCACAAACAGCTACACACGCACGTGAAGATACGCTCCACGGACATGAGTTAGACGTAGTCAACACAAGTTCCTTTCTTGGCACCGCTGCCTTTTGAACATGTCCCCTTTGGATGATCCCCTGCCATGGGGACAGCTTGGGCAGACCCCTTACGCTTCTGACTCTGTTGTCCAAGAAGGACAGTCTCGTCTGCAGCTGGATCCTCGGGGATGCACGTGGGGCTAAAGAAAGGGGGGCAGAGGCTTACATGACAGTTTCTGGTTTCTGGGGATCGGTGCCCTCAGTTCTGCTATGCCAGGACTGTCGTGTGGAGCCCAGGTGTGGGCTCTTCAGAGACCCCTACCCCAGGAGACTGTGTGTGGCACAGAGGCCTGACGTGAGCAGTGCTCTTGCTGGCTGAGTTCGTGGGACTTCCCCACCCTTGCTGGGACACCCACGGCGGCTTTCTGCTGGCGTCCCTGTCACCCAGAACGTGTACCCTTTGTGGCAGGATCCTTTCAAGCCCAGCTACCTTTCCAGGCCTTCCCGTGGCTCCAGGTTGGAGAAAATGATGCATTCTTGCCCCAGATTGAGGTGGAAATTCAGCATGACCAACTCCTTGCCCTATGCCCCTGCCCCCTCAGTCATGAGCTCAAGGACAGCTCCAGCTGAGTTTGGGACTCTTTCAGGTCCTAGCCTATCTCTTCATGAATGTTCCCAAGCCTCCAGGGCACACGTCAGGTATTTCAGAGAATGCCTGGACTCTGCTTGGAGGCGGCCAGGAGTGGGTTGGAGTTTCTTTGGCTCTATTAGAGAAGTTCTGCTATGGAAGAAGATTCTTGTTTGTCCTCCTGCTGACAGTCCCAGTCATTGTGAACTGGCCTCTTGGGAAGTGGCAGCTCTTGGCTTGGGAGGTGGGGCAAGGCAGAAAGGTCCACCTCCGTTTCCCTTCAGAGAATCTCCCTGTGATCTCTCATGGCCCCTTGTGGAGGTGGGGTAGCAGGGTTACCAGCTGAAAGCTTTTTGTCAACCTCGCCTATGAAGATTCGGGGTCCGTGTCCAGCTGCCCCATTAGGACACGGGCTAGGTGGCACTTATGATCTTCATCACTAGGACTCCGGCCACAATTCTGACACCAGGGAAAGTCCATTTCACATCCTGTTACTCATACTCATTGTAATGCTTTAAAATATGGGTCCAGTTTCCCTTCTGTTTTGAACCGTCTTTTTCCTTTCCTGCTGTGAGTTTCATAGGACACAGTGAAATGCAGGACTCCTTGGACTGTGATTGACCGTGTTGTAGTTTAACAGATGATCAGGGCAGCAAGCATAATTCCTATTCAAAGGACACAAAGAGGGTTCTATAATATATCACAGATGGAAATGAAATTTGATCACTAGGGCCCCTTAGGGTTGATTGATTACTATCGACTCAGTAAGTTGCGATTCATACACTTCACTACTTAGGATAATGCTAATCATGTGGACCATCTTTTGCTAACAGTATTCTAAGACGAGTGAACTAAGCCAACATTTTTTCGTTGCAGGGAGAGTTATAGAACTATTGGCCTCTATTGGGTTGGATCTATTATCATGAGCATTATTGTTTTTGTGCCAGGAAACATTGTGGGTAAGAAACTTTACCTTAACATTCACTTTCCTCTTCTGAAACAATGGCGGCGTGTTTGTAAATAGAGAAGCCATCTTGGTTGTTATTCCAAGCTTACTGAAAAGCGGTTATGCAGAATCCTTCCTTTTCCCCTCCATCATTTCACCTGTTAAAAAATGCTTTTGAGCAACTTTCAGAAGTGTACGCTGAACGATGAGACAATCAGCGATTCCTGACATTTAGGATCTAGAGGGGGTAATTTGTGTCTGCGGCTATCTGCGGTGTGTAAATATTTCTTACAACTTTTTGTATCGTACGTAACTCTTGACACATTCGATAAATGTATTTGAGAACTAAGGCTCTTGAAAGTTAACGTGAAAGAGGTTATCATTTATGTGTGCAAACAATCAGGGTATTATATTAAATATTCTTTAAGAATACGGTAGCTAGGACATGCCTGGTAATGTGCACCTCATAGTTTTAAATTGACCTGTTTTATTTGGTCTCATGAAGAATATGGTCTGGTCCACAGCACAGTGTTAAATGACTTGAGGTGGGTGTCCTCAATGTTACTGGTGTTTAGAGATGCTTTTTGGCAAACGTTTGACTTTCTCTCTCTCTCTTTCTTTTAAATAGGGAAGTATGGAACCCGCATTTGCCCTGCTTTCTTCTTAAGCATACCATATACTTGTCTTCCTGTCTGGGCTGGTTTCAGAATCTATAATCAGCCATCAGAAAATTATAATTATCCCTCAAAGGTGATTTTATTATGTTAACTGTAACCTGGTCCCAAACTCACGGGGCGCACTCACATCTCCCGGCTACTGGATCAAACTGTGCCTCCGGGCACTGGAGGTCTGGGGCAGACCGTTTGACTGCGTTGATTCTGTGCATTGGTCACACCTTAGTTACAGTGGCAGAGATGGTCTGTTTCTGTCTGACTACATCTGCTTCAACTGGCCAGGCTGTGCTTTCTGGACCTTCCTGTGCCCTGGGTCACACTGACTGTTCCCAACAGAGCCTGTTCAGGGTGTGGAGTGTGTGGTTTGTCTGGGGCTGTTAACGGCCTGGTGTTTGAGCATTTGGGTAGCTCTTGCAGAGATGCCAGGGCCTTTCCGAGGGGAGGCTGGAGGGATCCTGCTGTTCGGGGTAGCATACACAGCCTCAGGGTCTAATGTACCAAGGGATCCAGGCACACGAAGACTGGCTACAGGACGTCTTCCGAGACACCTCCCTTCCATTCACAGCCAAGGTGGTCAAGGAAAAGCAGTGCCGGCTGGGCAGGTACTCCGTTAAGGTCTTCATTTCTAAGCCAGTAACATCTAAGTGTCTCTTCCTTTTATAGGTAATAGATCCTTAAGCAAGATCCTTTAAGCAAAGTGATATACGGAAATACGAATTACTAGAGATCGTCAGAACATGATTATTCAGTTGACTCTAAGATTTACAGAATTCCTTAAAATGCACTGTAATTTACAAACACCTCATTTGTAAACAATGAGACACCCGCTGTGCACACTCGGGATGACTCACTGACATCCTTTTGAGGAACGAGGTGGTTGTTACGAAGAAAAAGCGAACGGTACCCATCGTCCTGGGCTCCACGGCTTTTAAAAAAGTCTCCGCGTCAGTGTGTCAACACTGTTCATGCCGTGAGACACAGGACACTGTTACCATTTTTTAAATGTTCAAACACAGTGATGGCCAGGGAGAAATGGACATGGTCACACAGTGCTGATAGGAACACAAATCCAGACTTGCTCTGCAAGGCAATTTGGCGGTGTTATCAACCTTAGCAAATTTAACCCCTTAGCCTAGTAATCCCACGTCGAAGGCCCTGTCCTCGGAAGGTCATCAGAGAGATGCAGTCAAAGATCTTTGTGCAGAATTGCTCACCATCACATTAACAGTGCAAATGCCTAAATGTCCAACACTGTGAGAGTGGCTGAAATATGGTCCTTCCACATGATACTACGTTTTAGAAGAGTTTTTAATAATGTGGGCAAGTGCTTGTAATATAAGATAGCTGTTGAGGGTCCAAAGAACAAATACACAATTGGCTATATGTAAAGTCTTAATTTTGTAAAAAATAAATGTAGATCAGATAGATGATAGATAGCTCTGGAAAAACATAGTGACTCTTAATAGTGGGTTGGGTTTATGGTTACCTTACTTTTAAAATGAACGTATCTTACATTTATAATCACAAAACTCCTATTGCAAGAAAAAAAAATATGACTCTTAGAGCTTGAAAGGCCCTTCAGGATGACCCAGCCCAATCTCACAGAGGAGCAAAGTGGAAGCAGAGAGGAGGAGGGACATGATTTTCGTAAGTTAGGCGGCTAGTGGTTTATGACATGAATCACCTGTCTGCTGAATTCTCTCCCCATCCAGCACCATAGCACTTAGGCGTCAGTAGATCTCAGATTCTTCTTTGGCACTCTGGGCCTGCTCATTGGTTACAAACTCTTATTTTAGGTCATTCAAGAAGTCCAAGCCAAGGACCTGCTGAGAAGACCATTTGATTTATTGTTGGTCGTGTGTCTCCTCCTGGCAACTGGATTTTGTCTGTTTAGAGGCTTGGTAAGCATCACAGATCAAAGTAACATTAAAAAAAGAAAAACATATATTTAATCAGACTTCCTAGTGCCCTCACAACATTCCTCCTGTTAGAGCCTGGAGACCCGGCCCTGCTTGCTGCCACTCTCCCACGTGCACCTCCTTCAGCTCCTTGGATTAAGCCCACCTGGAAGTCTCTTCCTTCCCCGATGTTAGGGTGCCTGAAAAATTAGCTAGTAGAGTCTCATTCTTTTGGTTTCTTTGCTGTTTCTGATTTAAATGTAAATGTCTTTGGGAAGGGTGGTACCTGAGGCCTCCATGATTGTGCTCCCCGGAGTAGGGACATGGCATTGAGGAAGGGCCCAGAGTAAGGAGTTAGGATCCTGGCTATTTACCAGCTGTGTGGCCTTGAAAAATGACTTAACCTCTTTGACCTCAGCTTCTTCTGAGGTACTGTTATAAAATAACAGTACCGATCTTACGGTGCTGTTCTGAAGATTAAATAAGAGAATAAACATCAAACACTTATACGTGGTAAGTGTTCACTACATGGGGTTACTAGTGACTATTTTTTTCTTAATATTTTATTTATTTATTTATTTATTTGAGAGAGAGAGAGTGCGAGAGAGAGCACAAGCAATGGTGAGGGAGAAGCAGGCTGCCCATCAAGCAGGGAGCCTGACGTGGGACTTGAGCCGAAGGCAGACACTTAACTGACTGAGCCACCCAGATGCCCTACTGGTTACTATTTTTATTGATGGATGATCCTTTGCAGTGCTTAGTTTCATGGTTTATTCTTAGTGGAAACGAATTTCAGCAGCCAGAATCATATGGGTAACTATATTCAGCCTCAGTGACAATTACTCTTCTAAGCCTGCCGGCTTGCACAACAGTTGGGGAGCCGAGTGGCAAGTGTGAACTGATGTAGCTGACTTACTGTCTTGGGGTCCTTGAACCATATACTCTGTGCGGCTGGCTGGGTTCAGAGCGAGAAGCTGTCTTAAGAGCGGTCTCCATCAGTAAATCAGGAATTTCCTGGGGTCGAGTCAGCTAATAGGAGGAGTGGCACAGGGAAGGGATGTAAAGGAGAAAGCAGAGCCGTAGGCTTTGCTCAGAGCACAGAGCAGTTAAAACTGCTTTTTTCCCCTAAGTAATCTCCATGCCCAACATGGGGCTTGAACCCATGATCCCGAGATCAACAGTCACACATGCTACCGACTGAGCCAGCCAGGCGTCCTTAAAACTGTTCTTTGGTTAGTTTGCTCTAATTCCCAAAGCGAAAAGAACAACAGTAACAACAAAAATGAGCCCCAGCTGTATTCCTGAATAGCCGTATCCACTCTGTGCACCAGAAAGATGTGCGCATGTGGGCAGGACTTTTGCAGACGGGCTTTTAAGTTTGGGCCCGTTTTTTACCAACTCTGCTACTGGCCCGTGTTCATAGATGCTATCTAGATGGGACAGCATTTATGGCCAAAGACATGAGGAGTGATGCAGGAGGGAGGGGACTCAGAGGGGACCTGGCTGGTTACGTGCCAGAGAGACTGTGTCTCTTCTGTGGCCAAGAGCCTGCTGTGACCAACTCTGCTCCCCGCTCCCTTTCAAAGTGGACACAGGATGTGGCTTCACACAGGACGACCCTGCTTTCAGATCACCCTTTACTGCCCCCAAAGGCCCTGTGCTCCGTGAGCCACTGGAGAGAGGAGGAGGCTGTTTTTTTAAAGTCTGCAATGCATAGTAAGATGAATTTGGTCTAGGGATGTGCTTTTCTTCCCGCAGAACAGCTGGCTAGCTATTTATTCCCAGGAGAAGTGAAACTGGTAATCTAGCGCGAGCTGCGAGCTGTGTTTTGGCCGGTGGAAATCTAGATACTTAGGAGGTACCCAAGAATAGAGCATTAGTTATTTCCTGCTCTACTGTTAACTTCTTCATCTCCTTCGAGTAGATCTGTAGAATATTTTTCTTTCCCTTCTACTGATGAGCTTCTACGATACACAGTTTTTGTTAAATAGCAAAACAGCTTGTGGCTGAACCCGGAACATTCAGCCCTCTTAGCAAACGTTGAGAATCAGATGTGATTGTAACTTTATAATGAATTCGTTTTTGTTCCCAGATTGCTTTGGATTGCCCAGCTGAGCTCTGCCGATTTTATACACAATTTCAAGAGCCCTACCTAAAGGATCCTGCTGCTTACCCTAAAATCCAGGTCAAGTAGTTATGAAGCCCATGGTCTTTCTGAAGTTAATGTTCATTCTTTAAGAATGGGAACGTGTGGACCCATGTAGGAAACGGGAGTTAATATTCTCAGAGATAAAAATGTTCGTCTTTGGTGCTTTTCGTCAGGCCAGGCTGTGAAGTTGCTGATGATGTTATTTCTCTGTTCAATGCAGATGCTGGCCTATCTCTTCTACTCTGTCCCTTACTTTGTGATTGCGCTTTATGGCTTAGTGGTTCCTGGATGCTCCTGGATGCCTGACATAACACTGATGCATGCCGGAGGTCTAGCTCAGGTACTAAACATACGCTCTGTTCAGAACGTCCGCTGGGGATCTGGCTGTCATTGTCGAGAATCTGAGAAACATCTCTTCTTGGTGTTTAAGGGTGGGTGGGAAACAGGTCCTAGACTCGTCCCCTTTTGTTCTGCAGTTCTTTGGGAGACATTTCTGCGTATGCATGTTATTCAGATCTTGCAATAACTACATGGTAGGTGTGGCAGCCAGCTCTACAGGTGAGGAAGCTGAGGCCCAGTGAGGTTAATGGTCTGTCCCAGGTCACACACCCAGCAAGGGGCACCGCTGGTTCCCGGTGCTGTCTCCCAGTCTCTGAACACCATGGCTACTAAACAAGAATTGAGAGCCGTCGTCTTTGAGATGTCTGTCTCACACCGAAGATGTCAGAATTCTGTTGTGCTACACTACACTGAGCCAGGGAAACTGGGTTTGAGAACATTCTGTTCCCAGTCATGCCATTCCTTCCCCCTGCTACTCAGTCAAGGCCCTGGCCTCAAGCATGAGCACGGGTTCAGTGAATGCTTACTTCACTGAACTGGAAATAAAATTATCTATGGAAGTGTATTATTACCCAAAGTACATTTTTACAAGGTAACAGCAAGACAAACTGATCTTATGAACAAGGAAGAAAATTATTAATTTTATCTTTCCCCCCTTCTCACTATAAATAAAAAAGAAACAAATGAATCCATCTTGTAAAATCATTCTCTTGCATCTTGCTCTTTTCGAGCAGGCCTCAGAATGAGGCTCATGTGGAAGCGGTCAGAACATACAGTTTTGGGACAGTACAATAGCACTCTGCCATTTACAGGCTGGGAAAATAGCTATAGGATTCATGGGTTAATACTTTAGGCTAACTCCTCCCAGTCTGAGGTAATTCTCAATTACAGAATTTGAGTATTAGTATCAAAAAAGTTGGTACAGCATCCGCCAAGTAAGGGTTCCTGTTCTTTCCCTGAAGGACTTAAGAGGGAAGAGAACTAATATTTACCCTCTTGGCAGACCTCTGACTAGCTGATTCCTTAGGCCAGATTTTGAGCCTTTATTTCCATATCTTCCAATACCAACTATAAGCTGACTTCCAATTTTCTGTCTTTAGGCCAAACTGTTCCCAGACTCCTAGACCTAATCCCAGACTCAGTCTTTTCACTTGGCTGTCTTGGAGTTAGTGTCTAAAATAGGACTCCTGACCTTCCCTACACCTTACCCCCATTTCCACCATCCCTGCAAACAGCCTTTTCCATTCCCTCACCACTACATCTAGCCCGTCACCAGGTTTAGTTCTGTCTCCAGAGGAATCCGCAAACCCAGCGCGTACAGCTCATGGCCCTACAGTGGTCTGCGCTCTCACCTCTTACTTTACGGGAGGCAAAGCAGGCTAAGTGTTGTACTTACTTATCTGTAAAGATGGGCTGTGTGCTCTGCTGGAGTAGGAAATACGCAGGGGCTTAACACAATGAAGTCTTCTTTCTTGCTTGGGCAAAGATCATGTGGGATATTTTCAAGAGCCAGGCCTGGCACCAACCCGACTGACTGCACGGGAAGCAGATGAATGTGGTCTTCCTGTGTGCCCCAGAAGAAACAGTGTGACGAATACAGCATTACCCCTGCAGTTTTGTTTTGTTTTTTTAAAGCCTTACTTAAAGATAAGAAAGCAGAGGCTCTGGGCAGCTTATTACTTGCCTGGGGTCACAGTTACTAAATGGCAGAATAGGGATCTGGAATCCTGCCTGACCCCAATGCCCACATTCTTCTCCACTGGTATCCCTCTTCTCATGCAGACGTTAGGGGCGGTGGGGTCCTACGGCACAAAGCCAGACCTTTTATGGGCCTGGAGGAGCCAGCCTCTGGGTGGTGGGAGGCAGGGACACAGCGTGCACTGTGTTGGGCCAGGGAAGCGTTTAGGTGTTGCAGCGGGCAGCAGGTCAGAGGGTGGAGTAAACCTTGGCTTTTATTTTCCTGGCCTTATTCTCCCGCGCTCCCCAGGAGAGAGGGCCTCCCACCAGCCTCTCTCTCACCAGTCCCTTCCTTCGAGGATTAGCTTGCTCAGAGTTTGACGTGGTTGCCGTCCCTCTCCAGGCCCTGTACCTGGGTCTGCCCCGTAGTGGGCCCTGGTGCAGGAACATGGACCGTCATCATCGAGGGGGCTGACAAGAGTGAGCCACTGTTGGACCCAGCCAGGCGGACAGTGGGCAGTCAGGAGGCTTGGGAAGGTCACACCTTGGGGGCCAGGGGGCGCTTGAAGCGATAGCACTAAGACTAATCCCGACTGTACCTGCTGGTGAGGGCCAGGCCTGCAGACAGGCCCCGTGGCTCCAACCAGGCAGTTCGGGGAAGGGCGGCGGGGCCGATAGAGCCCTCAGCAGCAGTAGCAGGGGCTTCAGCCAGACCCCAGGCCTTGCCGGAATCCTTGGGCTTATCCACCACTGCCGAGTTTGACAAGGTAGCTGGAGGCTACAGGCCAGAGCCTGCAAATGTCAGAAGGAGGTTTCTCCCAACCCAGAACGGTGTCATCTGAGAACTGGGTGTCTGACAGTCCCACAACTCTGGGCTGGGCTTTAATATCTATCTACTCGGAGTGTTTAGCCAAAGGAAAAGTTACAAATCACACTGGAACCAAAGTGCCCATGATGAGAATGTTGAATTCCAGGTATGTGATTGGTTTTCTACCTGGCCAATACTGGCTTCTGAAATGAATTCTCGCCTTGGGAGGGCATCTGAAACTTTCATCACAGAAAACACCCTCCCTAGCCCAACTCGCATCCCTCGCTGCTAAAACTGTCATTTAGAAGGTTTATGCACTCACGATCCCACTAACTTTATCAAAGTTTGCATTTCTTGAAAGGCCTAGTGAACACCCAAGACTCTGTGATTTAGTAAGAAAAAAAAATCTTTGAAAAATTTCTAGATCAGTACAAGTCCATGGAAAACGTGTTAAGTTCTTATGGGTCCCTGATTTCAGATTCTGTAGGAATCTGCCAAATCTGCTGTCTTCAGAAATCAAAAAGTAAAATAAAATCAAATAAGCAGGACACATTTTACACCAAAGAGCCAGTGGGGACTTATTCATAACTCAATTGTCTTTTCTTATAAAATTCCTATTGTAGGATTGAAGTTGCAAGTCTAGTTTGAAAAGTATTGCAGGCTGCTTAGATCCACTTATTATTAGTACCTTCTAGCAACTGAAGAATTTTTCTCTGCTAAAATATCACTGAACATTAGAAGAAAACAATCTAGTCAATATGGTTAAGAGCACGAGCGCTAGAGAGACTGTGTCGTTATCTCAGCCTGTCCCTGAGGAGCTCGTGACCTTCACCACCTTGGATTCCTCTGCTGTGAAAGTTAGGATAATACAGGAGCTTTCTCCTAAAGCTGCTGGGAGGGGATTAAATGAGGGCATATATGTAAAAGGCTTACAACAGTGCCTGGCACAGAATGCGCTGTGGGTCTTTGTTGCTGTTCTTCTTGTTGGTTTAAGATTCCCAACAGGAGTCTAGAGAGGAAGTGCCTTGTGTTGCTCAGGAGATTCATTCATCTGTAGCCATGTGTAACAGATATTATTACCTAAAGATCAGAGAGACTGGGAGAGAGCTTTGGGATAGACTCGCAGTGGGTTTGTCAGGGAGCCTGCCGCCCATCCAGTGCCACCCACAGCCCTGGAAGCAGGAACAGTCTCCCCTGGGTTGGGAAACACCCCTTCCCACTGGCTGCTCACTCTCCCACTCCCTGGCTACAGCGGATGCTGTGTACTTCCTCACAAAAGGGTCTGGAAGCTTATCTGTGGATAATTTGGTTGTAGAGTTGACTCTCCTGGAGGCGAATTTTATGTTTTTTTTCCTTATGGAAACCTTTAGGAAATACCTGAAAGATTTCGGAAGAACACGGATAATTGGGATACTAACGCAAATCCTCTTTTAATAGTTTGCTTCAAGTGTAATTCATAGAAAACATCTTTATTTAGTATTAAAATTAGACTTTGGGTTTAATGTCTTCACATGATTATCCTTTGGTGGAGACAGATCGTCTTGAAAATGTCAAAAGGTCAGCAAGGGTATCTAGAAACAAAGAGCCCACCTGAGTTCTCAACAAAGTAGAATTTCAGACATGAACAGGCGATTCTCTTGGCACTGCCCTAAGCACTCCACAAAGATCAGCTCATTGAACAGGCATAGCAATCCCTATGAGGTAGGCTCCATTATTATCCTACTTTTATAGATGAGGAAGCCAAAAAAGGTTACATACCTAACCCAAGGTCATACTGCCGGTAGAGATGGGCTCTGACACTGGAGGTCTGGTTCCAGATGCAGTGTTCTTAACCCCTGGACTGTGCTGCTCAGAAAACCCTAAAAAATGACACAGTTCTGGATTAACTACTTATATTGTATCAGCCAAATAGCCTGGCTGTTGTCCCAATATTAGTTTTGGCCTATGATACTTATGTGGACACATGATACTCTTTCAGCTCTTCTTTCTGGAACCGAGATCATGATTTTTAGCCATCCTTTCCATGTTGTCTCTAAATATAAGAAAAGGGAGCTATTAAAATTTAACCGTTCTTGG